ATGGGGTGTCTGTGCCCCCCACGGGGTGTCTCAGCCCTCCATGGGGTATCTCTGCCCTTCATGTGGTATCTTTGCCCCCTGTGGGTTATCTGTGCCCCCCATGGGCTATTTCTGCCTCCTGTGGGGTATCTCTGCCCCCCATGGGGTATCTTTTCCCCCTGTGGGTTGTCTGTGCCCCCCATGGGCTATTTCTGCCTCCTGTGGGGTATCTCTGCCCCCCATGGGGTATCTTTGCCCCCCACTGGGTATCTCTGTCCCCCATGAGGTATCTCTTTCCCCCATTCCAGCCCCACAGTGTGATGTCTCCATTCCTGCATGTGTTTTGGGGCTCCTCTCCCGTCACTCCTGTGCTGAAGTCTGTCCTGGCACCCAAGCTGTGCCTAAGGCAGCTTAGCACCACTGAGGAGCTACTTTGGGCTGAAAAGGGAACTGAAACCTCTTGTTCAGCCCTTGCCTCAGCCCACCAGGCCCCATCACGAGGTTTTGCAGGGAGGCAGCTGCTCTGGGGTGAATCAAGACATTGTGACAAACCCACCTCGTTCCACTGCAAGCGCAGGTGCAAGGGACTCTCCCCCGCCCCACTCTGACTCCTCGTCACCAGCGCCAGGCAAATGAGCTCCGTGAGGCATTACAGGACACAGAAATAGGTCTGTGGTGTGGTCTGGGTTGGGAGAGGCAGCTGACACATCCGTGGCTGTTTCCTGTTTCTCCAGAGCTGCAGAGTGGCAGCTGGCCCAGCCGGCGTGGAGCGGGAGGCTGCGTGTCACAGCCAAGGGCAAGACAGCCTTCATCAAGCTGGAGGACAAGACCTCAGGTGAGGAGGGAGGTGATGGCTCTGTGCTCCTTCAGGAAGAGGAATATGGTGCTATTCCTTGGTGTTATTCTGCTCCCATTTCTCTTTTTTCCAGGAGAGCTTTTTGCCCAGGCGCCGGTGGAGCAGTTCCCTAGCATCGCTGTGGAAAGTGTGACAGACTCCAGCAGATACTTTGTCATCCGGGTTGAAGATGGGAATGGTACATTGTGATACTCCAGGGAGTCACCTCGGGAAGTCTTCAGAGCCCTCACTGCTCTCGTGTGTGAAGGATTCCTGCGCTCAGGGGCTGAATATTCCCAGCATAGGGTGGCAAAGGGAGGAATTCTCTTGCTCCCACATGCCAGCTGCACTCTGACCTCCAGCAGGAACAAAACCACTTTGTGTTTGGTGCTCACCATTGGTAGGAGGACACAGGATCATCACCCTGAGGCCAACTCTGCTTTATATTCATTTGAAAGCTGTTTGACTAAGGTTGTGTGTGCAACCAATGAGCTAAGGATACCTGGAGGTGTCTTTGAAGAAGGGAAGGCCTCAGGGTGATCTCATTGCAGCCTTCCAGTGCCTGAAGGGGCTCCAAGAGAGCTGAAGAGGGGCCTGGAGGGACAGGACAGGGGGGAACGG